ACCTTACATTTATTCAATTTCAGGTAGTTTTTACTGCTAAAATACCCAGAAAAACAGGTATTATGACTAGGAACAAGGGTGCCTCTCCACAGATCTAACCTGTAACTTGGTCTGGTTTGTTCTCCAGAAGACAGTAAGGTTTACTGTGAAATATTCCAGACAAAGCAATAACTTCTCCATGGAGTAAAGTATCTAACGGACCCTCCACCAGAAAAGTTACACAGTGCTCCTTTAAACTCATAGAAGTTAATTAGGCTTGTACAATTAATTGCAATAAAGAAATCACATTCTCACATAATTATCAAATCACAAAGACTGCATATATTTATATAATATACCCCATCTTTTATGGAAAAAAATAAGAGCTAACCTTGAAGTTCAAACATCAACAAAAATGCTCTGAAATGTGCAGAATTCTTAAGCCTGGCAGTTCCTGGTAATGTTTCAAGGGAAGTCTTTATTATTATTAATTTTTGTTATAGTTTACAAAGCCTTCAAACATCCAACAAAACAGGCTTGAATCTATAAAAGGTTATTTTTAAGTTCTTGTGAGTTAGAGATGGATTCAAGTAGGCTATAAATTTATGAAGTACTGTTTTATGCTTTCAGTTCAAGACCCTTTAAGTTCTAACCTTTATAGTTTTCTTACGCCTGCAAAATAGAATTGAATGCACATAATATAATAACAATAAATAGCATTGAGGGCAGTTCCTGACCTACTGGAGCTCATTACTTAAACATAGGAACTCATTGTAAATGCCATAATGATAGAAGTAGACTACAAAAAGATAAGAAGGTCCATAAGTCTTAAATAAGGTTAAGTGAAATAATTTGAATATCAATTTGGGTGTGGGGGGTTCAGCAAAGGAATCATTCAAATCCAGTGTCTGTTTTTTAAGCTAGAAAAAGGCTGTAGCTTTATTTCATGGGCTATAGCGAGACATTTTATACATGGTTTGTTGTGGGGGGAGTGGGCTGCTATGACTAATCCAGCTATAAACAGCTCTTGTGACAGACCCTATTTGGTTACACTATGTTGGTTCTATGGTGAAATAAAAGATACAATTTCACTTAAAGAATTCCCTCTCATTGTACTAGTTTACTGCATTACTGACTTTGTACTTTTTAATTTTAAACGTGTGGGAGACGTGACAAGAGTGCCGCAGTGATGTGTCGTCCTCCTCTTGCTTCCACGGTCTGTTTTGGAGAATTGCAGGTTTCGGCACTGTGCGTTGGGTGACTGTGTGGGTGGAGAATGAAAGGCAGAAATCTAAATAAGTGAAACAGGATTCAGGCAGTGCTGCGTGGAGCCAGCAGAGGGCGCTGTGGTGAATGGCAGCAGGTGACCAAGAGCGTTTTGCACACATTGGTGCACAAAAGCAGCAGTAACAAAGGGAGAATGTAGGTGTGCTTGAATACAATACTACTTCATCATTGTGAACTCAAAGGGCCTGCACTACGATATTTTGGAGAGGCTGACATAATTGTAAATAGGATACTTTTTTGCTTTTAAAATACCTTGACAAGATTTTGGTGTGAATTATTTCATAATCCCAAGAATTCAAGTAAACAACATATTTCTGTTGTTGTCTGCACTGAAATGAATCATGGGATATGTAGTTGCAGATGTTTATAAACTGTTGCTACTATAAAACCACGCAATGGAACTTGTAATTCGATATATTGTGACAGCCCACGTTATTATTGTGAGACTTTTTCCCTAATTATAGCATACTGTAGATCAGATCAGTCAATTGCATAATATGGCCCTTCAATGCTGCATTCCGTAACTTTTCTGAATGTGGACAACGTGATCCATTTCTGCAACTACTTCTACTATAATTCCTCAATCAGAGAACTAGTACAAAACCAAAAGTAGCAATGCCAAATGTTCAAGCATCTCTGTAGACCTATATAATTACACTACTGACTCAAATTGCTTCCCTATTCCCTTAACAATAGCAGGTTACGTGAGGTTTTATCTTCACCTGCAACAGTCTACACGACGCTGCTCAGACCGAGTTACAGAGGGCCAAGTGGCGCTCATCTTCCTCGGAGCTGCCATCATGATGAAAGCTTTTGATTAGATGTTATTCTTGAGGTCCCAGCGAGCATTGAAGAGCGCTCGGACTGGCTGGCAGAAACTCCCTGGACACAAAAACCTCTCAAATCGCATTGTTTGTGCCAATGCCATCACGGTCCAATTTTAGTCCAGACACACGGCAGATATCAAGTTTTTGTCAGAATTCTGCTAAAGGTCATTTAATCAGCAACAAATAAAAGATGCAAAATTGTGCCTGCTGTATACTTATTTTATTTGAGATAAATTGGAGTCTACTCACATAAGAATTTATTAGTCATGTGATATTAAATAGTCTTCTACTTTTAAATAGTGGGTAAATGTTTGGGTGTGGCTTCTGATTTATACTGAATAATGTATAGCCTACATACAGCTTTTGTTACTTAGACTTAGGCCTACGTCTAATAGGGAAAGTAGTCACAAAAGAAATATGTAGTATGCAAAATAGGCCTATTACTCATCCACATGTCTTCAAATGACTAAATGTGGCATTACTCACCAGCTTCTATTTATCAATTAACTCTAGTAGATCTCACTATATTACATTTTGACACACTACACACACAAATGACGAGAATACTTTATTTAAATTTAATGCAAGAAAGAAAGAAAACACAAAAACTCTGATATCCATAAGTTTCAGAATGATAAGAAATGAGGACCATTGCCCTAGTGAATAATGATTTAAAAGCCCTAAAAATGCTGCATATAACAGTAAGGTAGGACCAATGAAGAACCCTGTTGGTCTTATTGCCTTGCGAGCCAGTCCCTCTTGCATTGTAAAAGTGTGTAGTCTTGGCTTAATGTGAAGATTCTTGAGTAGAAGATGTTGTGCTAATTGGTCTGTTTTAGAGTTAATGATATGATTGCAAGCTAACATGGGTATAGCAGTAAAAGAATCTAATTTCAATGCACCTTTTTACAGTCCTATATTACACAAATTGACCCTTATGAGGTTTGTGCCATGTCATAACGTTGTTACCTCCTCAAAAACATACCTGGCGTTGTGTATTGTTTCATTCACACATTTTTGGTTAACCCTTTATTATTAGTCTGTCTATATTTCCAAAGTATAAAATGCTCTGTTCCACTTTGTGATGTCTTGAAGTGGTAGTTTTCAAGCTAACAGCTACCTTTTACCATTTGGAGTTTAAAAACACAGTAGAGCATGTCATGTACTACCACATGACTTCATAAGTTGGAACAGCGGGTTTTCTGTTAGAGAGAAGGATACAGCCTAAATATGCAGGATTGTGAATGAAACAAGACACAACTCTATGTTTTTGATGAAGAAACAACATTATAACATAGATTACAAAATACCGTATGTATAATACGTATGGAGAGATGCATATCATGATAATATTGTACCGAGAGATTTGGATATCATTACATCCCTAGTTCTGTGTTTCCTCATAAAAACCATATCTGAAGTTGTGTTTTGTTTCATTCACACATGTTTAACACAAACCCTGCATATTTGGACTGAGTTCTTCTCTCAAACAGAAAACAGTCTGTTCCACCTTCTGATGTCATATGGTAATACAGGAAGTGTATTTTTAAACACCATACACCTTCACGAGAATCATTTGGATAATTTCAGCCCTGGAAATGCCCGTCTCTAATGAACTAAAGGTAAAAGGTAGCTATTAACTTGAAAAACTACTAATTCATGACATCACAAGGTGGAGCAGAGCATTTTGAGCATTAGACATGTAGAAAAACAAATAATAAAGACTTACTCAAACATGTGAATGAAACAAGACACAATTTTAGGTATGTTTTTGACAGGGTAACAACAGTAATAACATAACATTTCTTAAAGCTTATAAGAGTCCATTTTGTGTAATATAAGACATTTAAGCAGTGAGACATTTATTATTGATTCAACAGTTATACGCATGTAAGTAAATGGGAGAGATGTCCTTGAATAATAATCTATGACAATAATTCATATTGGCAGCATTAATTGTCTTCATGGTGGTGACCTATGTAACCTTTGTGCTGGCAGATTAGACTAATGGAGCCCGTAAAACCATGTGAGCAACATTGTATTAATTCAAGGCTTCTTGTAGCTTTGTTTCTCCACATCAGTATGCAGAGGGATAGCTGCCTTCATGGATGGTCACACACCCAACGAAGCTCAGAGAGAAACACTTGTGTAATAGGAATTGTCAGGAGTACTGGGCTGAGAAGGCAGGGCTTCAGAGGTTACATGTTAAAATTATGTACCTAAGCCTCATTGCAAATACCCCACAATGGAAAAATATAACAAGATATCTACAATAAACATCGATATTAATTTGATCATGTAAAAAGGTTCAATTAAATCAAGCAGCTTCCCATGGACAAAAGAAATACTACATACAAGTACTATTAAATATTTACATTATTAAAAGTGATCCAGAAAACACAAAATTACCAACTAGATTTCATGCCACAGGTTTTTATGTTTTTTTATTGTCAATGTAACCCTGCTCACACACTGTTAGGAGTATTATCTATTTGTCATTTGTCTTTTACATGATTCTTGATCATAAGACATTAAAATTAAATCGGGGAATGTTGCACTTCAACATGAAATCCTTGTAAACTTTATAAAGTTGCACTCCCCTCAAAACACTGACCAATGAGTGATGAATCATGTCTAAGACTAAACGTGAAAATTAAGTGAAAAGTTCCAAAATAATCGGTAGGTGTCAAGTCTTAAAATTATAACATTCAGGAGTACAACATAATATTTTCTACACTTCTTATTCACAAGACAGAAACATTCAGGGGAAGTTGTGCTTCAAAACTAAATCCTATTATCACATTTTTCTTTTTCCCTTGAAAACATTAATGAGTGATGAACCATGTCTAAAATGACATCTTAGCGAGATGATTTCCAGTGCAAATAAATGACAGCACAAACACAGTGGTGGTTTAAATAACATTTACTAGCACACACTGTCACACAGACAACCCTGGTGGTACAGAGAGAGGCTACACATCTCTTGGTCCATACACATGAGCAGTCTATTGTGGCACGTCCCACATCGGTCAGAAAGAGTTTCAAAAACACACGCACAAATGAGCAGCAAAATTCATCCCAAAACACCAGACCAGTGGCAGGTATGATTCAAGAAAACAATGAAAAAAGCTCAAGACTCCAGCGATATAGTCAAACTTGATTACACGGCAAATAAGTAAATACTATATATATAGAAACTGTTCACAAAATACTGTTAAGAGCTGTGTTTTATAGCAGAGGTAATGGGTTTTCACAATCAAACTGTCAGATAATTAAAGGGGAAAAGACCATAATGCCACTGGCCAATTAGGAGCCTGTAGCTTCCATTTACTTCCAGACAGACAATTACAGGAAGAGTGTCCATCAATTTAGCTGCCATATACTCATCCCTCAGTCTTGACATGTAGGCAGATAAAAAGACAACACACAGCCCCTTTCAAATCCTAACTTGAGTTCAAACATTCAAAATTATATCAAGAACACAGAAAACTTGACTCCAGTAAATAAAGTTAGAAATATATTGTACAGGTGACTATGTGTGACCAGTGCATTGCTCACCAGTGCCTGACTAACACATTAGGATGATGTGATTTGACAAACAAAGTGAAAAATAAATTGGTCTGGAAATTACAAAGCATTCTTGGTAAGAAAAAAAAAACCACAATAAATAGCTGTCACTTTGTGGATGGAAAGCTATGTTCTGAACCAAATCAGGCTTTAACAACAATTATGAAGGAAACAAAAACAGTGGACAAAGGAAAAGACACCCAAAAAGACACCAAACTGAACTTTTTACATAAGACACACTGAAGGACAACATAGAGCCTATTCTATTAAAGCTCGTTTTAGACGCGTCCCTTTGTCTACAGTCACAGAGAGGATCACTTAGTGAAGATGAAAAAGAGCAACCATTGGCTGCTTTTGTAAACTGGCCCAATTATTGCTCTGAACATAAAATAAAAGGGTTAAGAAAATACTTAATCCAGTTTACAATTGTTTCAGCTGTATATATTTTCTAACAGAAAATAAAAATTTTAAAGTAAAAACTTAAATAGCCAATACACTAAAAATCATATTTACAAAACACAAACTGTGATCACCAAGTGTTCCCATAAAAGCCACAAGCATCAGATAGCTGTAGCCCAGACTCCACAGCGCCCTCCGCAGGTCATAGATAAATCCTTAGACTGTCCAAAATTCATCATTGTAACAGGTGGGTGGGAGCTCAGAAAATGCGCTTGCGCTTCAGGTAGGAGTCGGCGTAGTGACCTCCGAGGCCCTGGGAGTGCTGGCCCACATAGCTTCCCTCAGGGCTGGGCTCAGGAGACGGAATGAGCCGAGAAAACACACGCTTATGGCTGCCAATAGGAGTCTAAAGTAAAAGACGATATGTTTAGTATTGCATCACAGACAGTTAAGAGTTCAACTCCCAGTGTCAGTCACCTTGGGGACAGCTCCAAAACCAGGGGGGTAGTTAGTGTGACTATTTGGCGGCATCCCTACTGCCTGTGCACAAAAACAAGGGATGACTGTCTATAAACATACATTTAAGGGCTTTATGAGTAATCACACATTATTGCACTCAGTTATTTGGCCCTAGTGCAAACTAGATCTAGTACCATTTAGCTAACCAATAAACTAATTTCTATGGTAACAGACTCACATTCAATTTAAATCAATTTAATTTTGTTAAGAGTTAGACATAAAAAAGTTACAACTCACTCTGTTCAGATGTGGAAGGCCACTACTGTTGGCAGGGTCAGACCCTGAACTGAAGTATGACTGTGGAGGGCTTGGTGGCAAACTAAAGTGGGAAAATCTTTCATTGTATTGTTGAGGAACCTGCAAAAAAAATAAAGGTTAGATTCTCTAGAAATTTTAGTCCCATCGACATCAGCTAGTAATAAAAACATGCAGTATATTTACTCCAAAAATGTTAAAATAAAACTAAAGTTGCTTGTTGAATAGTGTACTTGGTCACATTCATAAAGAAAGACTTGACATTACCTGCTGTCCTAATCCTAATGCCCCAGAGTCAAGATTCTCTTGTTCATACAAATATGTCAGGGGATCCTTAAAAAAAAAATAATAATAAAAATTAATAATTTATAAATCAATGAAATGAAGACTCAAACAAGAAAAAACTTACACCAAATAAAGGAGAAAATTCAGGGGTGTATGGCTCCAGGTAGCGAAGGCTGAAATTTGGCTGCATGTTCTGCAGAGCTGACTGGTTGGACAGATTACTTAATGTGGGTCTTCTTCTGTAGGGGTGGGACCTGCCATTTACCCCTAGGAAGCCCCCAAGCATAAAATCAGACACTAAAAAATGTACAGTAAAATACAATGGACACAATAAGCACCTGCAGGAAAAACAGGGTTCATAAATTGACCCTGGGAAAGGCTCCTTTCTTTGGGAGGTTCACCAAGTAACGAGGTCTGAAGAAAAGGGAAATAGAACAGTTATGGTTAAGGAAATGTTATGTTTTGACTGGCAACAACAAAGAAAAGTGGTTTTGCCTTTACCCCTTGTGGCGAATGGCCATCAGACCCCATCGCAGCCGCCATCAGAGGCATGGACAGCCCCTGCAGAGTGGGACAGGGAGTCTGAGGGAAAGAGCATGCCGCTGTGGGTGACTCCTGTTCCCTGGACAAGGCTCTACAAGGCTTTAGGGGCACCAGGGGCTCTGTATGTAGCCCCAAACCTGGAATTACAGCACCCAAGATCAAATAAAAACTCTGCTCTCGGCACTGCTTTTCAATATCTTAAGTGCAATAAAAGATTGTTAGAAAACTATCCATTTTGGTCAAGTGGTTGTGCTTCAACCTGCAAAATATGTCATTGTTAATTGAGGTACAATTTTTCAATTTTTCAAAAACAGCACAACATTTATAGAAAAATACAAAATTAAGTTCTGAACTAAGACATAAATCACAACATTCTGAATTTTTAATTATTTAACCTCATATACTCCTATACATTTAAAAACACCTTGTTTAATAAGCTAAACTTAATGGGCTCCAAAGAGAACATGAAAACATGAGATGTGTAGTTTTTAAAAAGGTATGTCTGAAATAAGTGGAAGCCAAACCTTGGGGCAGGTCTTTGAGCAGATGGACTCCCTGCTGGCCAGGCAGAGATGCTAGAGGACTGTCACCGATGAGCCCCGGAGCCTGCAGCCAAAGCACAGGACACAGGTCAATCACAGGGGGAGACTCTAAAGCACTCAGCCAACCAGCTGCCAATACTCAAATGAAATCATGTCCCAGCTGTTTGAATAGTCAAACTGCATTACTCAAAATCACACACTCAACAGGTTTCCAGACAAAAGCTTATGCTTGTCATGTTATAGGTAAGAGTAGAAATAATGCGAAATCACTGCACACATGGCCAAACATAAGCCCCATTACCACTCACAGTCCAAAGAAGAGGATTTCCCATAAAGGCATGCTAATGGTGACAAGCAGATCAGTGTAATTAAATAAAGCCTAAACAGAATGGACAGGGCAAACAAAGGGATGACTGCTATACCTGCTGGGCCTTGGCCTGGTTCTGAAGCAATAGCTGTAGCAGTGCGACTGAGAGGGCAGGGTTGGTCAGCAGGGGCATAGTCGGCGCAGCACCCAAGATCCCTGTAAAGTCCCATTGTTTTAATATAAGGTTACTACTCCCCATTGGTAGAAAATGGTGGATCCCTTTACCTTGTTTTTGTCCTTGTGGAAGTGGGTTGAGCAGCATTTTAAGTGCTGCAGGATTACTGAGGCCTGTGAGGATCTGCATGGCTGTGGGATCTGGGAGGAGGCCTTTGCCCCGGTTCACAGCCTACAACACCATAAGGTCAAATACTATTGTGTAAAATATATGACCACAACTAATAAAGCCAGAGAGACTTTTATACCATTGTCTGGGCAGCAATTAAAGCTGCCAACATGCTCCTCCCAGGAGGCCCAGGTGCACAGAAAGACACCCGGATGTGTGTACCACAGAGCAGCCTGCCATCCAACAAACGCTGTGCTTCCTCTGCCATCTCAGCCGTGGAGAACTCTAATACTGCAAAACGCTGAAAGCTGCCATCTTGCCCTTGAGCCAACTGTTAAAAGAAAAAGAAAAAAAAAATGTAACGCATACAAACATTTACAAAAAAATAAAGTTAAAAACTTGAGGGAAGAATGATGAGATTTCCAAAGTTATCACTATCGCAGCATTTTGTGGCTGTGCATGTTGTGGCTGTGCATGTTGTGCTTTTCTCTGCTGCTCTCATTCCAGAACAGCCCTGTGGAAGTCAGGTGGTCATCACCATAGAAACCTCATTGCTATTGAAATTTTGAGTGGCCACATGAAAAGTAGGCTAAAAGGTAAGTTACTCAAAAAAATAAACCATCCAAAATTGATAAACGTTTCAATATTTAGGGCTCTGTGTTGCGATTAATATATATATATAAAAAAAAAGACTTTTAAGTATTCGTTTTAAAAGGTTTACCTGGCAAAAGACTGGCACATGTGTGTCAGACAGGGCACTGCGGAGGTCCTGCGCTGTCAACAGACTCTGTGGCATGTGGTCCACACACAGACATTTTGAATGCAGAAGTGGATAAGTGAGGGACCCCACTTCTGTCCAGTGTACGTACAGCATGCGGGAGCCCAGCTGTTTTCCGAGGAGCTCTGACTTAGCTCTGGCAGCTGAATCCTTTTTCATGTATTCCACAAAGCCATAGCCTTTGGAGTGTCCTGTGGAGACACTATATACCAGGAAGCAGCGCTCAAGGTTACCGAAGGGCCTCACCAGCTCTTCAAACTGCTGCTGGGTCAAAGTACGGGGCAGATTTGCGATACACAACAAAGCATCTGTAGGCTGCAACTGAACAGAGATCTCCCGTTCACGTAGGACATGCTGGTGGAACTCTTTGATGGCGCTTTGGGCTTGTTCTCCATTAAGTAGTGTCACAAAAGCTATGGGAACCACAAAATACCAAAGGTACAGATTAGTGTGAACTGGTGGTGAATGTAGAACTAAGAATAATAATCTGTAAACTTTACTGACTTAAACTACCTGTTTCACAATAGTAATTAATATATTGCTACAGAAAATATGATTAACGATAATACTGAGACTACTTTATGCAGCTGATACAGTAACCCTAAAGCAGGATAATCCCAGTAAAAACTCTTTTCTAAACTGTGCAGAATTGTTAACATCATCAACTGGAATAAATAGCACACCACTAGTAGTTAGTGTCAGTTAGTGACTTCATGAACAATATGATTCAAATCTTCCCACACTATTTTTTTTTCTTCAATGTGTTGCATTTCAGACACATTTAAGACATTAACAAATGCATTTTGTATACAGTCAGGCAAGCGTTGCCACACAGAAGCTTTCACAGAGTTGCTTTGTCCTTTGACATTCAAACAATGGCTGCCGGCAGCACTAAAATCCAAAGCCTGTCTCCTGGCTCTGTGTGCGCTCAACAGTAATTTAGGCAAAAAGTCGAGGAATCCAACAATGTTTATAACACAATACCAACCTGTGCCCTTGTACTTGTCCACAAAGCAGTACTTCAGGTCATAGTTGGCCAGCAGCTCATGGACCTCCTGCAAAAAAATAAATAAGGAACCTCCAGATAAGAAAATGTCTTTTTTGAAGTTACTGCAATTTGAATTGTAAATATTTTCTTTTCTGCAGCAAATACACAATTTTAAGAGGAGAGAGAGATTTAAAGAGGGGTGAATGAGGTAACCCAGGACACATGTGTGGGGACGGACCGAACAACGCTTTGTTGTTGAGAAATTGTTCTGTGCTGCCTTTACCCATTCACAAACGGAATGGTGATGCTTTCTAGCATTTTCTGAAATGCTTTGTTCACACACCTTCCAGCTTTTGTTGTAACATGGCCCACATCTCGAACTGCCACAGCTCGCCCTGAACAATGCTGGGCCGCAGCTTCTCACGAGTCAGGCAAATTCCCAAAATGTGAGAGCAAATTAAACTCTGCCCAACAACATAACGTGTTTTTTTTTTTTTTTAAATAAGTAGTCAAATATATGGCTAGTGTGATTCAAACATTTTCTGAATCAACTAAGTTAAAGGCCAAAGGCCAGAGCAGCTGGCCTGACAGGCTGTGGCGGGGCGGGGCGGGGGGTGGATAGTGACAGCTATCAAAGAATCATACCCCACCAGAAACTCACCCCAAAGTTATGAAATAAGGATTATAGAGCTAAAGTTCTGATGTGTATAAAAACTAAAAAGGATAACGAAGGAACCCATCATATTCTCCCATCCCTATTAAAATGTAAACTAAATTATTACTATCGTTACACCTGCGGCATGGCAGACAGGGGGCAGTAGCTGAGCTAGGCTAATACTAGCCAGCTTTACTCGAGTGAAAAGTGAAAACTTACCTGGTTGTTAATGTCAGATGGGAGGTTTTTAATTATTATTTTTCTGCGGTTATAAAACTCCCGACGAGTTCTTTCTAAGCGGGCCTCAATTTCTTCGGGGCTCAGAGATGTCAGGTCCTCGTCGACCCTCCGCTGACTTTCGCGTCCCGCTATGGGACCCTCTTCTTTCCCCTCGAGGTCTGGATGGCGACGATCTACGCCGGGCATCCACTTTTCGCGCTCGGTCAACGTATGGTCGTAGTGTTCCTTGTGAGAACGAGAGGCATATCTGAGCCCGGTGTCTGTGGATTCCTCTTTGGAAGCGGTGCTTACAGACACGACGGCCGCCATGACTCGCTCGGTGGAAGTTTGTGTTCAAAGTGCAGATGGATTTGAGCAGTTTAAACAATACACACGTGCTCTCAGCGCTGCTCCTGATTGGACTAGAGCAGGACGCGATCTCCAGGACGACGACGTAAAGAGCGCTGTGGGCGGGGTTACAGCTTCGCCTGACCAATGACTGAGCGAGCACAGATCATTGCACCCACAGGTGCCTCCGGGGTCAAACACATTTGAATGAGAATGATTACAGTGTTTTGAAACCTGTGCTCAGCAAAATCATCATATCAAAATCAACGATGAATATGTGAGATCTAATTGACCAGAGGAAGGGTTGAGGAGTTATAAATAAGCAACTATGATGAGAAAGTGATGAACTGCTTTTTTAAGAACTTTAAATCAACTTAAAAAAACAAAAAACAAAAACAAAACAAAAACATTAAACAGTAACAAAACGAAGACTGACATTTCATGAGTTTATATAACAAAAAAAAAGAACACTATGATAGAGCTATGGATAAAGATGTAAACAGCATCATATTAAATATTTAGCACAAAACATTATTGATAGTAGGCTACATAAAAGTATTGCATATTTGCATATTTATAGTGTCTTTGACCTGGTTTTCAATTCGAGTTTATCCTTTATCTACAAACATTGTAATATGTAATATCTAAAATTGTCTTTGAATAAAATATTAGCGGGTTAACTTAGTATTCACTTATACCAAAAACAGGCCCATACACTGACATAAATCAGCAAATCTGGGCAAGAGAAAAGTTGCCATTGGATTGCCAGTCGTATTTTTGACGAATATCCTCAAATCTCTTAATAAGTGAACAAAATTTTGGGCGATGGTTGCGATTGGTGGCCCAGCACTGATCCATAATGATCTTCACCTGTCGTACAGGAAAATATGATTATATCTTGTACCACAGCCATAGTATGATTGTTGATTTTGGAGATAGGCATATTTACCTCATGTGGACAGTCTCTGGGACAAGGCAATCGGATTTGTCTCTCCAACATTTGAATGAGTAGCATCACAGTCAGCTGGGGATGCTCCGCCCCCTTCATTTCATTGAATTTCTGAAAAGCACAGACACATTTTAGAATTACAATGGATTTTATAGAGAAGAAGAGTTATATTACAAACTTTATGTTAAACATACACTGGGAGGACTTTCACGAGGGTCACAACGTGTCAGGATTTCATACAACGTAACACCAAAGGACCATATGTCAGAATCAAAAGAAAATTTGCTCTCTTTCAAGCATTCAATCGCATACCTAGAAGAAAATAGAAGAATAGTTAGTATACCTTGTATTTTATAATAATATACATTTTGCAGTAACAATACTTTATTTACAATATAGAGCTTTTCAATTATTAAAAACAAAGAGTAAAAGCAGTGATCATAACTTACCAGTACACTGGGCTGTCTCCGTCTTCACGTACACGGTAGTAGGCCTCCCCCTCAGGGATGTATTTTGACAAACCAAAGTCTCCAATCTTTACCAAATTGTCATTTTCCACCAGCACGTTACGGGCAGCAAGGTCTCGGTGAATGTAACGCTCAGAATGTAAGTATGCCATGCCCTTTTTTAGAAGTACAGTAATTGCAAAATTAAACAAAATAGCCTTCATTACAAAAAAGGTCACAAGAAATATAAAGAATAGCATTCAGCCAGTAATTGAGGAATACAGACAATATAGTTCTTACTTGACAGATCTGCTGAGCAAAGAGAAGGCACTGGGGCGTACTCAGCTTACGTTCACGAGCATACTTGTTTAAACTCCCCATAGGAACATACTCCATTACTAGTTGCACCATTTGTCCTCCTATGTTAAACAAAAATTATTATTATCGTGGTCAATAATAATAATAATAATAATAATAATAATAATATTAACAACAACAAAAACAACAACAACAACACACAAATCTAAACCTACAAAGTAAAACACCAAAAAATTCTATCAGAAAAAATTACTGCATATCTTACATAAATGAGCATGTAGAGTAGCCAATTAAATTTAAGCTGAAATGATCAACTGGCTATTATTTTGTCCCTAAACACACATATACCTAGTTCAGCGCAGCATCCCTTGTACTTGACAATATTGGTGTGACTGAGAGATTTCAGGGTTTCAATCTCCTTCATCCAGCCCTCTGGTACATGGCCGCCATCTTGTTTCAAGGCCTTTACTGCCACTAACTCTCCCGTCCGATCATTGGAAGGGTCATATAAGTACAGAATAACCTTTCCAAAGTGGCCCTGTGACCAGAAAGAAGTAAGATATATATCAAAGGCAAAACAATCTCATATCATGTCCTACCGCTCCCAGTTCTCTCATCTCTTTCAGGTACCGCTTGTAGTACACGGTTGGGTCCATTTGGGGCATTGGGTCAGGCAGAGTAATTTCAGAATCTGTTCACATAAGAATGAAAGGGTTAATGTTTACGGTTAAATAAAACAGCACAAGGAAAATATATGAAAGAAATAAACCCACCTCCAATTTTAGTGAGCTCTCTAAGGACAGTTCTGAAGGAAGGCCTCTCTGAAGGTTCATAGGTCAAACACATACTGATGAATTTGGTCAGCTCCTCGGAGGATGGTTGAGGTAAACTGTCTTTTTGTTTGTAAAATCTCTCTTTCTATTGAAAGAAGTCACAATTCAGTGGTCATATATATTAAGGCTGGCCTCTGAATCTTAAAATCACTTGTGGAATATCACTAAATGAACATTACGGTTCATGATGAAACTAGATAATTTTATGCCTGCCTGTTCATAACCAAAATATCCATGTCAATTTGAGTTCTAACCTCAGACAATGTCCAGGAACTCATTGGGAGATGTCCATTATTGCAGATTTCAAGAAGAGTGACTCCAAAGCTCCACTGGTCGGCAGCATTGCCAAGAAAGGCCCCACTTTCAATACATTCAGGGGCGATCCATGGGATGCGCTCCACACGCTCTACATCAACAACAAAAAAACAGAATGAGTAACAGTATATTTATTTAGAAAGGTAATTTTAGTTTTACATTTTAAATATTATTTGATGTTGTAAAGAGAAGACTATGGCAACAGGAAGTAAATCAAAAGGAAGTGGGTCAGTTATAGTTTCCTGTGTTTTAATCTCACAGATATAAATCTGAATATTGGTTAAAAACGTCAAAGTGCATAATTCTGACCTTCTCTTGAAAGAACACTGAGTGCGATTCCAGGATCACTCAGCTTCACAAAAGGATCGATCCCAGGCTCCAGCCCTCTTCGTGCAACAAGAATATTTTTACCACAAACATTCCCATGAATCAGTTGCTTCGTCTCCTGTAGTTTCAGAAAAAAGTTGAATACTGTTTTATTTATAAAATTATTTATTTGTGCAGTAATTGGTGCAATCAGAAGAGAAGAACATGATAATGTTTCAACTTACAAGGTAACTAAGGGCACTTGCAAGTTGTTGCGCAACTAGTAATTTCCACTGAGAAGAAATTTGCGCCTTTTCTTTGCGAAGGAAGACATCCAGAGGCCCAAATTCCACATATTCTTCAACCAGGATGTCTATCAGATGGCAAAGTTTAAAGCAGTATTAAAAACAATGGAGGGAATAAAAACATTTTCAAATCAATCTTCCAAACCACTAACTAGTTGGAATGTTCTTAATCTTACTTTCAGATCCTTTGACAGATACACCATGTACAAAGACCAAATGGCTGTGGGACACTTGTCTCATAAGGCTTGCTATCCCAAAAAATTCCTTACAAACAATAAATCTATTAATGTTATTACAATTATATGATTATTATGGTAGAAGGTCTATAACTTACAAGTGCAATGTTTTTGTGTACATCGTCAAGAATCTTCAGAGCAACTTTAATTTCACTGCAGTCATTAAAGTCATTCTTTGCATTTGCTTGTTTGGTTGGCACCAGAGTTCCAGAGTAGATGTATGTTCTGGTTCCTTGACCCAGATGTATTTTCTATTCCATAAAATAAACAGTCAAGACAACTCCAACAAAGGACTTGACAAGTTCACTACGTAGCTATGTTTTTTGATGGAGGGTACGACACTGGCTTGTCTCCACTTAGATGTTTGTTTGTTTTTTGCCTAGAATGCTCCACTATAGTATGTAAACTGGCATTACATGCTTGTCTCTGTCTAGACTAATTTAATGCCATAGAAGGGAACCTTTCAGCTCTATGGAGGCAAGTACCTGCTACCAGAAAGTACAGAGTATATAGTGCACCATTGAATATACATAGTGAAATATACCTTCACAATTTCTTTGTCCTTTATTTGAATAAACCGTACTTCTGGTAAGTTTGGGAGATGAGGGTCATTTTCCTCTGTTTTTCTTGTAACTATAAGATTGGACAACTCTACAAAACAAAAATTTGGACATTAAGAACACATCCTTAAAACAATCTAAACTAATATTGTTGTAACACACACCTCGTGGTTTGGGAAGGAGACATTTCTTTACAGTAAATGTTTCAGATCCTGACTGAAGAATGAATGTTTTTAGGCTGTCCGTAAGCTCTTTCATACCGGAAAATTCTTTGTCCCAACCCTCAAGACAGAACCTTGATCCTTTGTACTCAATTCGAAACTGCTTGTGGGTTGGCAAAGATCCTTTCTAGAAAAGAAAATATGATAACAATAAATTTGACAAACCTTACAAAGTTTAAAAAGTGGTTCATGACATGCCTGAGTTTTGCTCAGAACAGCTAGAATGAGGCGATGATAGTCAATAACACTCCAGCGTACAAGAAACACTCCCTCCTCAGCTGCCTCTTTTTTGAGCTTCATTAGCACAAATTCATCCCTAGAATGACACCAAGCATTACCAATGCACTTCTTCAATAGAAGTATGAATCTATATGAACTCACTGTATAGGTCCATGCAGTGTATTGTTCGCACTCAGCACAACCCTTGGGGGTGCCACATCACAGCAGAGATAGTGGTGGGCATCGGCAGTGAGTCGGTAGTATCCATCAATCAGGGATGCAAAGGACTGAGCCTCCTGCCTGGAGCCCATGTGAGCCTCCTAAATAAGAAACAATGTAAAATTGTGTCAGTGTTTCGCCTAGGTTTTCTGGTTTGGCAAATGGTTTTGGTAAAGATGACAAATTTGAGGAAGGATGATTAGCACTGAATGATTTGATTGACAGGGCAGGGCCGCTGTTGGTGGGAGCGGTGCGTCTTGTCAATATGTAATGGTAGGGGAAACACTGTATGAAAATGTTTGTCCCAGTCTGCTTAGATGAAAAGTGCATTCAATATAGACTTGAACTGGATCTAATGAATGAAAAAATAGGTTCTTACTATGATAATTTTAAAACGTTGCCCCTTCGTCTCCCACCAAGTTGTGCAACATCTCCCACTTTTACTACTTTGGTGGGCCACCTTGTTCTAACATTCAAAATAAATATCTAAACAAAGTTTATAAACACAATACATTAAAACAGACTACTTAGCATAAAGCTTAATGCATCTCAAGAAATAATGTACTGTGGTTTGTAAAGTGGTAATAGGACACTCCTCACCATGCAGCCGTTGTCCTCAGTACTAATGCGCACTTTATCTTCTGTGAGGATGATATGAGTGATTTCAGGGAAATCACAGAAAGACGTCCATGCATTGGGAGTATTTCCACTGGCTTCAGTTGAGTGCTGTTTTGCCTTCCTCATGTAATCACCCCTAATGTACGGGTTGGATTGAGCCTAAGAAAGATGTCACATTAATGCAAATTAACTGTGCAATGATTTCAAACTGTGCCTGGCCTTTGGACATACCATTTGGGTAGACACCTTTCTCCACTGAATGCCCTTTAAACCACAGACCATTATTTCATGTGTGATAGGGGCTTTGTAGTTGTTTTTTGAGGCACTTTGTTCCTGATTTGAGTTGGAATAAGAACATCCCTGCCCATCATTGTATAGGTCCATGCGAGACACACGGTATGTTTCGGTGCCGAAGCGTGGAGCCAAGTGTTCCAGAGTTGAGACATATTTATACATTATTTCTTGCGTTCCAAGTTTTCCTTTATCCACAGTGTGCTGTTGGAAAGCCTGGACAAACTCTGTAAATATTCGCCTCATGCGGTATTTTGTCAGAAAGTTGTCCTTGGAAATTTGTCTGGCAAAAGATCTTGGAATGCAGTGATGGAAGCTAGAAAACAAACGATTGTGTGCTTTAAACCAAGTCAGTCTTTGTTGTCATATTGCTACATAATATATCCCAAGAACTGCAATGACCTATTTTTTTCAGCAACTTCTTGTAATTTTTTGTTGTTCTGTAATGCGTAGTGAGAAAGGTGAAGTACAGCCATTCCCAAGCTCTCATTTTTGAAGCGACTTAACTCTTCTTCAGAATGAATATCGTCGATTTCTATTGCTTCATTTACAAATTCATATTTAGCCTTTAAACAACAGAAACAAGTCAACATTATTCAGGATGTTTCAAAAATATAAATTTGCGTGATTAATTGTGTTAAGTATAAACCTGTGCGAACAAGTACTCCAACGATGAAATTTCAAGCAGAGGGGAACATCCTTGACCTGTCCCAGACTTGGGGGTATAACGGGACACTTTTGGCTCATTCTCATTAAGACCATGCCAGTTATGGAAGTAAAACCTTATCACAAGAGAAAAGTTGTTTACACACAAATAAAATATTCTTTATCAAATATTATACACCAACCTCATCCGAAAGTAAAGGACCAGATGGGTATTTTCCTCCAACGTGAACACATGGTTTGGACTGTACCAACAACATGAAAGTGGTTCATAGAGAGCATACAACATGTAACACAAAGGAGTTATCCCTAAAAAAAATAAAAAACAAATAAAATGAACAGGCTTAAGCGAAGTGCGTGAGGCAATGCGTACAATTATCATAAGTGGTTAGAATGGTCATTTTACCTACTGCTTTTGCAGCTGAGATGCACAGCTCCTCTGCTGTGATCTCTCCAGATGTGTGGGACAGGTAGGGCTCCCCCTCAGGCCTCCAGAACAGGTACACATGCACCCCTGGACCCACAGGAGGCTCACTCTCACCGGGAAAAACCCATGACCTCGAACACTTCTTGGATGTTTTTTTCCTTAACATCGTAAACTGCACATCACTGAGAGACAGAGAGAAAGACAGAGAGAGAGCCAGAGAGAGCAAGAGGGAGGAAGACAGAGAGAGAATATAGTACATAACATCATATTAATATAGGCTATAGGTGTTTGGCAGTGGTGGTTTTATTATAACTTTGACAAGATATACTCAAATTAACTTTTGATTTAATAAACTGACGTTACTTCCGGGATTTCACCATGTTTCACTTCAGATAGTCCTTTTCACAGTCGCACGTTTGTACGTACACTTTCATTTTGATCTTCTGATATGGACTGGATAATAACACAGTGTTTAGGATTGGCCTATTGCGACATTTAATTAATCTACACCATTCATAGGTTATCTTCTTCTGTGTGCGGTGTTTTATAGCACTATTTGTAGTAACATTACAGCAAACACGCAAACAGAGCAAACAAGCAAGTCTTACCCATTAACAGCGCGATTTGGCCGGTGTGACATGATAACTAGCACTAATACGGAAAATAAGAGCTCAATTTAGTCTTCATTTTCTTGTGAGCGTAATTCCCCTTCGCATACTTCTACTTCTGATCTGTCTGTGAGAGGTACTTCCCGAAACCAGCGCGGCCACGCCCCCTGCAGTTTCACGCACGACCATACGCAGGGAGTATGCGAAGAGATAACGCTACTGTTGTATTACAAATAGACCTCTGTTTGGTGAGATATACAGGTATTATTTACCTTAGTCATTGCCATACTTCGAAGCTCTATCTTGCACTTGTGTTTTTGCTAGAGTTAACAACAGTTACAATAAGTTATGATCTTAAACTTTCATCAGACGCTGTTGCGTTTCTGTTTCATCTGAACATGTCTTGCTCAAATTTAAAAAAATGGTCATATTAGCTTAACAGCTTTTATTTTCACATTTTATAGCTGCAAACAACCCTCTTTGCAGTGCAAAAATACCAGTCATACACCATTGCGTTGATAAATGAAACTCACATTCTCCTCTTTAGAAGCACATACAACACTGGTCAGGAGACTCAAGTGCATAAAATAACCCATGCATTAGCTGTTGTTACAGATTATCATTATTGAAATGTTGTAAGAAATACACAAGAGTGAAGACTTCGTTTGTTCAGGGAATTATTGACAGTAATTGAAAACAACCCTATCATACAGTTCATAAAAAGGAATGAAGCTGAACTGAATATAGTCTAATGCATCAAGCAAAAGTAACAAATGTAAAAGACCAAGACATTTCTGGCAGATTAATAATTTTAAAAAAAAAAGGCGCTGTGCAGTAAATTGGCTTCATCTAACTACAATATTATTTAATTGTTGGGCAAACTATGCATACATGTGGTAGAGATGCAATACAGTGACAGCAAATACATTTGGATTACATTTTCACACAAACACAGTTGGTCACTCTTTCTTTGATTCTTCTTGTTCCTGTTTTACTTCCTCATATGTGGCCTCCTCCTCCTTTTCCTCTCCTTCATCTGTTTTTGCATTTGGGACCCACAGTCCTGAATCTATGCATCTTTTCATGTGAATCTTTGCCTCCTGTAAAAATGAATACATATTTCAGCACTTTCCCACATAGTCTAAAAACAAGCATCGTAATTAACATTAACATACAATATCCAGAATGTCAAAAATAATAAATTAACAGATTAAATACACGTAATGTTTTTTTACTCCAAAAATGTAAACTGAATTTGTACCAATACTGTCTCTAGATGGTTTAGGAGTAACTTACTGTGGGGTCCATTTTGCTTATTACATCTTGTAACATCTGGATATCCTTCTCGTCAAAGCATTTCTGCATTTCCTGTTAATAAAAGCGTGCTTTGTTTTTAATCACCTTCAAAAATAAAAAAATAAAAAATGAAAACCTGGCATCTAAAAAACAAAAACTTACAGATGGAAGAGATTCATAAACTTCAACAGGATCTAGTCCGCCTGGCCCCAGTCGTTTTTGTCTCTCCTCTTCTTCATACTCTTTCATTGCCTTTTCAATGCGAATCTTTGCCCTACCACGAACACGCTCCTTAAAGGACTCTAGCTCATCATTGAAAGCATCTTGGTACTGCTGGTCTGCTGTCTAAAGACAAAAACAAAAGGTCCAATCTTGTTTTCTTCATTTTGTTATGTACAGTATATCTCTGCAATTAAACTCAACAATACAATACAATCAACTCAAAATTTAGTCCACATTATATTGTTCTGGAAAATCTTTGTTGCAATTTATGTGGAATGTTAGAATACCTTAATTTTAGCAAAAAACTGTCGGAAGCAACCACGAGGATCCACCTTTAGACTCTTGGCCAGTTCTAAAATGAACTGCATAACAATGGTCTGATGGGCAACCTGTTCCATTAGGGCATGTTTCTTAAAAAGCAGACAATCAATTACTTAAAATCAACATATTATAATAACCAAATCAAAGTCATGATTTTATTTTGCAGTATTTACCTCCTCAACTTCAAGGTCAATGCACATAATAACTAAGTAGTTTGCGGTTTCTTCACACACTAGATGTGGATTATCAGACAGATATTTTTGACTGTCGTCCCAACGTCGCAACATGCCTATAAAAAACATACATTATTTTAAGTATGAAGTTTTTACTGGTTTATTTTGAGGGCAAGAACTTAAATTTACCAAAATGCTTAATCTGCTTTTCATATTTCTCAACAAAGGTTTTGTGTTTTTGCTCCTTCTCCTCTTCAGTTTCTTCTCTTTCAGGTTTGACATTTACGATGCTCTGAATAACACAAAGATTCTTCATATATTTGCATACCAATTTTTACAAGCTACATTTATGGCTAAATGTACACAATGAAAACGTATGCAACAAAACATAGACTTTTCCTATTATTCTTATTGGCTCACCTTACTGAAACCATCTTTGCTGAGCGTATCAACATTCCAGGGCATCTTTTTCTCTTCTCGATTATAGTCATCTATTTTTTTCTCCCAATCTCGCTCCTCCTTTTTAAGTTTCTTCTCCTCAGCCTGGACTTTGTTGAGCTCTGCTTTTGCATCATCTGTTGTTGACAAACTCAGCTCTTTTAATTTCTTCTGTGTATCTGCAAGCTTGCGTCGACAATCACTGAGGCTTTTATTTAATTCTTCACCCTTCTTTTGAAATTCTTCCATTCGCTCAACACGTGCCTGTTGTAAACATTGAAATAATGACATTTTGTAGTATACACCATTGGCCAAACAATGCAAAAAAATTTTTAAAAAGAACGAATGTACAATTGAGGTGTAAGGAAATCCCAAGTAAAGCGTAGAAGACAAATGGGTAGTGGAAACTTAAAAATAAACAATTTATTTGGCTCTATAACAATGAAAAGCTCTGTCATAGCTAAAATAGCAAAAGAAAATTACATTTGTTTTACTGCGGTACCTACCTGGGCGACTAAGGGATAACACAGACACAGTAAAGAATACCAATAAGCAACTGAATGGTATGTGCATCTCTCTAATATTTGTATTACTTATTCTATGTACTGTGAACTTAAACGTTCATCATGAACATCACAACAACAAAACTGGATCAGTGCTTTAGCTACAACTAGGAAGTGACAAAGTCCCGTTGTCACTAATTAATACCAGTGTAACATCTGAAAATTATAAAAGCACTTACCTGATGTCTCCATCTGAACAGGCTCGGAGTGTCGATATTTGGGTGGGTATCGTCTTCATCGTCGGACACCTCAATGTGGTCCCAAACACTGTAATCTATTCTGGACATTGTGCCAGGACGATCCTAACGCCAGGAATATTAGCCTGTGATTTACCTAAAATAAGTTTCTGTGGCTAATCAAAGTCGTGAATCCACAAACCTTATAGAAGCAAAAGCACTGTTTAAAAATCGCTATGTGGGTATATTCCTGCTGTTGCTGATAATATACTGGAAAAAACTTTGATAAACCCAGCGAGCATGAGCTAGCTAGAGAGAGCTACAGGATTCTAGAAAGAATCGCTGCACGTTTCCGCTGACGTCATTGCGTAACATGTACGTCAAGTGGCAGAGAACGTTTATGAAGTAAACTAACCATATCATAAATATGTTTAGTCTGAAACACAAATGTTATTATTATTATTTTTATAAATATTGAATTGGCGAATGCATGCCATAAGGACAAATTTGACAGCCTGTGTTGACAGGTATTGCGAAAGATGAAATAATAAATAACGTTTTTATGTATGAATGAAGATTGATAGCGACTGACTACATTGGACGTATGATCAAAATGAAAGACAATAAAATACATTTTTTATTAATAAGTAATGCTGTGTGTGGTTAGGATTACTGACAAATCGACAAATGGCATGGCAAATCAACTGCACTGAATAACCTCCACCAAGACCAACAGTCCCTCTGAAGAATCACGGATTATTTTTACTCTCCGTGGGCGCGGAACTCTTGAAACCCGAGCAGCAAATGGAGTTTGCCGCGTGGGTTTCGCAACAGCGGCGCATCTCCCTGATGACATCTTCACACATGATCTCCAGGTATTTATTTGCTGTAAAGGACAAAGAGAATCAGTTGTAACTTGCATAAGTGAACCTTTGCTTAATGCCACTGTAACACCACTAGTGTCAATACCTTGTAAACACTTTTGAATTGCACATGCTTGTTTTTGACATGGATCCTTCTGTCGGGGCATATTATCTGAAAAGGACAACTCATTCATATTTTAAAAATGAGCAATCAAATATAACGCAAATTATATTATGCTACACTTACCTGTGTTTGGAAATAATTGCTGGCATTAGGAAAATGTACAAGAGCACAAAAACTACAAAAAGGTCATTAGTTGAAGCTAGCTGTCATGCTAGCTGTGTAATGTTTTTGTCACGTGACTTTATAGATACCCATGAAATTTTCTGCAAGTGCAACAGCGACATCTTGTGGTTAAAAGCTGCATTTGTCGAGAGAAATACGTAGAAGAAAAAAACAGCATTATATATAACATTTATTTATAAAGATATGAAACTGAAGCAATACATATTTACACATTTCAAAGCTAAAGCAGAAATTCAATGTACACTGGCCTATATTTGTATGCCCTATTTCATTATTAAATTTGACATGAGGAATGTTCATATGTAGTGAATACAAATTGTATACTCAAGAAAAGGCCACAGTTCATATGTGTTAATTTATAAACATAGTATTAATGTGTTTTTTCTAATTCAGTTGGATAACAACCTAATACATAAATAGTCTCAGATTTGCTATTACAACAGCAAAAATAAAATCCTCTTTGATTAAAAAGGAAATAAGGAATGAAAAATTGTTGCAAATGTTGTCATCATATTCCATGTTGTTGCTTGCTTTAAACACCTAAAGTAAAGTGCACACACACACACAAACATATATTAGTTAGTTAATTAATTATGTGTATATGATCACCATACAGGGTTTAGCTTCTTCAAACCTTTGGTCTTTGCTTTAACCATGAAATTCTTGCTCCTTTTCCCCAGTGAGTTTGATGCAGTACATATGTAGGGTCCAGGCACAAGTGTGGATGACATAAGAACAGCTTCATCCCCAGTCTGTTGCATGACAGAGGGTGACTGCCAGGAGTACACAGGTGAGGGGTGCCCCAAAGCAGTGCAGTTTAAGGCCATTTCAGCACCAGATATTAGCTCTACCACTTCTGTTTCAGACCCAATGAAAGTTGGTGGAACTGGACAGTAATAAAAAATGTTAAATTAGTTCATGCATAGTGTAGAGCTATAGCATTTATACAGTTTTAATGGTGATTATAAATACTGCTCTAATTAGTGATAGCGTTATTGAAAAGGGTAATGAATTGAACTTTTGTATGAATGGTATGAGTTCCCATTTTGCTGTACAAAACCTAGTCAAGTCAGTCCTTTATTTACAGTGGCTGTTAAACTTGAATAGCAAAATATTACTCACGGTCACAGTTATAAAATATGAACCAAAATGTAATAACTCACACTGGACAGAGACATTGAGTGAATCAGATGTCACACTTGGAAGAGGCTGTGGTCCCTCTGGTCCCAGTTCCAGCTCAGCCACACACCTGTAGCTGGCACCATTTTCAGCTCTGGATGGAAAGATCTCGAGGATAGAAGACACTTGGACTGGTGAAGAAGATGTAAGGTCCGAAAAGGAGTGGTTATGGACCATTGTATCTCCTCTGTACCATTTTAGGGTGAGATACTGAACAGGGGCAATGTTTTGCACCTCACAGAGCAGCTGGTATTTCTTTGCCTCCACCATGGGCCCAGTGTGGTCCACAGGCCGAATACTGACGCTATCAGGGGTCTCTGTGCAAATAACACATGAAAGTGAAGCTCTTAAGCACAGTCAAAAGAATACATCAACTTCAACCAAGCATGAAATTTATAGTCTGCATATGAAGAATTCATTTGTACAAATTGAAAAGTACACTTCTTAATTTGGTCATTGTATAGTATGGATTTCAAATGGCATATTTATTGCAATGAAAGTAGTTTCCCAGAGTGATCTGTAGAGTGTAATAACAGCAGCGAATTTCAGTTTTTGCCAATTAAAATATATTAAACTATTGAAACGAATGATACATTTCTATTGGTCATGTCTCACTAATATAATATGCAATTAGATGATGAAAATACAGTACAAGTCTATGTAAAAAAGTAGTATAAAGTGTATATGTGTAGCCCCAGAAGTGCACTATGAACATTGTTTTATTACAAGATTTGTTAAGAAGAAGCTGACTTACTGTACAATACAAGGTTCAGTTTCTCCTCACATTGCCTTGGTGCAGTGTGAAACACTCCATAACAAATTGGTTCCTCGATCCAGTCAATAAGGCTGTCCACTTTCCACTGCACAGACTGCTCCTGCTGAGTGTGTGAGGGGCCAATGGCCGACTCCCATCCCAGGACACGCACTGGCCGAGTGGCTTCACAGCTGACGGACACAGCCTCCCCAAAGCCCACCACCACCCGGGGGGGCTTTAGACTCAGTGAGCACCCATCACCTGAAACTAAAGACATCCAGCAGCCACAGAGGTGGGGAGAAATCAGTTGCATGCACTAAGCTACATTTACTTTATTTGGAATAAAGTGTCAGTTTTGTAATACTATACCATTCTACATACCATTTCGGGTAGTTTTTTCTGAACTCTTTTCTGAAGGAACAGTATTCTTACTTGACAAAATGCTATATTCAGTGATTATACAAAGTGGGTAAGTCTATCACTGATAAGCTTTACATTGACATTATTGTATAATTTTTTTCAACATTTAGTTTTATAAATCATGTTACATCTATGCATACTGCTTGAGTAGTATCTTGAGTAGTTCTCATTATTATTTGAGTGATTTTATATAATATTTCTTCACTCCTACACTATCTGTGTGTGCATTAAAAGCAGATTGATTATGTAACTTACTCCAAAGGACAAATGAGGTTTGATTAAACATTTCTAAATGGCCTGTATAATTGTTTAATTGCACCTGTGTATAAGTGGGCAATAGGCATCTTAGTCACATCTGACGATGTCTGTTGTAAAGTTAATAAACAATTTTAGCCAACAGATATGTTTAGTTGTAATGGATGTGGTTCGCAATTGTTGTAGCAAGTACAGAGCAAGATCAATATATAGCCAATACAACAAAACATAGCTATTAGTGCAGAAAACCATGCATTTGTAAGTGTGCTAAGTTAATTAGATATTTGACATAGCACAGAACATTTAATAAACTTCAAGAAGAATGATTATTTGTGTGAACTTACCTGAGTGAAACATGCAAAACAAAAGAAATCTAATCAGAATGCAGTTATCCATCGTATTATTTTATAGCTGTAGATAAAAAGACAAAGTAGTCAGTTCCGGCCTGAGCAAGCTTGGTAACTCTGCAGGGAACTATGTTGGGACAAAAGGGCCCCCTTCATCCCAGATGACTTTGGGGGTGGGGGGTTGGAGTAAAAGAGGGGAATGCAGCAGGTGGCAGGCCTTTGCAAAAAAAAGACATTTCCTTTAAAACAGAATCCATAAAGACTGAACATTTTGGTTTTCAATTCCATACACCGAGTGGCTCAAATCTTTGCAATGCAATGAGTAATCAGATGCTTATGATATTAATTACAAAGGGCACAGCTGGGAATGTGAACTAGCCCAAAATAGTATATAAGCTCTTAACATTGAATATGATTTACTTTTATCAGTTTCCATTTTAAAAAGAACAAAGTTTGGCATCAATACTAAAATTTAAACTCCATGAGAAACTTGAGCAATGTCACTGTGGTTGCCATAGCAGCACGGTCAGAGCATACACAAACAGAGTTCTGGCAGGACCTCTTGTGGGAATGACAGGGGCTAACATAAGGAACACGCTTTTAGAAATGGCCCATTTGAATTGGCAGTTCCCCTTTACATTTACCGTGCTCTCAGCTCATTAGTATGGCAGACCTGGCCCTGTATATGTAAGCCAGTGCTTTGAGATGACATAATGTGGCAAGAAAACGACAAAAAGACACTTAGAAGGCTTTAACCAAATCAGTTTTCTGAATCAGGAAGTTACAAATATAAAGCTCTTTATTCATGATTTTTATATAACACACAAATCATTCCAGTATAAAAGCAACACAGGTTTTATCCTCATTATGCCTATATGTAGAATACCCAGTGTACTATGCACTGATGTAAACATGTTTAAGAGGCTCACACATACACAGTAAGGACATTGAAACAGCAGACACAAAGGCAAGCGCAATTATCAGTGCAATAAGTAGTGAATGTTAATGTCCAAACTCAAGCATATGTACCTCATACACTATTACCAAATATCACTATACAGTTAATACCGGTTAGTGTTTGTAGTGTGTGTGTAGTGTAGTGTATGAAGACTGATAAAACTAAGACATTCCTGAGCTGCATGTGGTGAAAAGCACCATGAGCACATTATAGTTTTCGGTAGTGTATCATAGTCGTGTAGTTAGGGTTATGGTTACTTAATCATAAAATAGGATAATGCATAAAATAAAATAGGAAGTGCAAATCGGATTCTCGATTCAAGGTGTTAGCAGTATCAATTGTCATTGCTTTGAATGATATAAATACAGTACATCTGATGAAACGCATTCATTAAGTAGTACTTTAAAGGCAGCTGATAACATCACACATGCAAAATGCTAGCTTGCATTACAAAGGACCTCACCCAGTAAACATGCAGAACAAAACATGTCTTGTAAGAAAAAACTATCATTCATTCATTTGGTAAAAAGAAAAAAAACTAAAACTCATATTGGTTGCGAGACCTGTCCTTTGCTGTAGCCGCCTTTGTTGAGTGAAAAAGTCCCATCTCTAGTCACAATAAATGGTCCACTGATTAGGAACAAGAAACCCAGGACTGCCAGGACTCCAACTACGGCTGCTAGCACTGTGTAGTCCCCTGTGGGAAATGGCAGTTTAGTGTCACTGTGCATCAAAAGACTTTTTCTGTCTGTAATACACTGCACATGCCAAAATCACAATGAACACAAAAAATATAGCCACTAATATTCCAGCAGTGGTTCCGGGAGCACTTCCTGATGAAGAACAGTATAAAAAAGCATTAAACAATCAACAATGCATATCAAGGGGAAAAATGGGACAATTATCTTACTTGGAGCATTTGTGAGGACAAACTGCTTGATGCTGGAGCCTTGGGAATTGGATGCAGTACAGTTGTAAGTTCCTGGGAAGGGCCCCAGGAGGTCCAAAATAGGTTGACTCCTCACCTGCTGTTCAGTGGGCTCAGGGACCTGCCAGAGGTAAGTAGGTGTGGGGTGTCCCTGGGCTGTGCAATCCAATGTTATTTTACCATTAGTTGGCACTTCAACCATCTCCACTTTGGGTTCTTTAAAGAAGGGTTGATCTGAAATTAATAAAAACAGTATATACATGTTTTAATTTCCCATTAGGTTATATGTGCATTGTACTATATGTACGTATTATACTTTGTAATTTTTCTGGTGGTGGTTCTTCTACCTGTTGATATGGATATGTTACTGCTTTGCCTAGAGTCTTCTACAGGACGGCATTAAATGTCAGTCTAATGGTAACTTAAATGTTGTTAATTAAAGATGGTTATATTGCTCAAAAATATCCAGAAAAACATTCTTCTACAAATCTAATAAGTTGGCCCTGTGGCATCACCTGCTTGTCACCATGACAATCTACATGTTAAATGCTTAACTGTGAAACATTCAGGAAAAGCAAAATGCATCCAAATCTCCATCTCCATGGAGACCAGGAAGTAGTGGACACTGTACCAGAAGAGTTAAACAATGCACTTTTAAATCACTTACACAGTACTTGAAGATCCAGTGGATCTGATCTAGATGGCATTATATATGGCCCTGTTGGTCGAAAGTCAAACTTGGCTTCGCACATTACTTTCTTTCCATGATTTTCTTTGTCTGCTGTTATTTTGAGGAAAGATGCCTCGGTCTTTGGTGAGCGCATGACAGCAGAAGAAAGCTGCTCCTTCTGAATCCTGGTATCCCCTATATACCATGCTACAGACACAGAAGCCACAGGCGCAACATTGGATACATTACACTGCAGCTCATACTCTTTGTGCTCCTCCATGAGTAGGTTTTCAGGCACTATAAAGACTCTGTCAGGGTTTTCTGCAAAAACAAAACACAACACACAAACTTTTAAGTGTTTCATAAAATATGTGAGTAAATACTGTTAAATTGACTATTTTCATAGATCCAAATGAAGTGATAACACATTACTGGGTAAAGAAAAAGCTCATTGCATAAGCAGAACTTGAAAATGAAATGATTTCTTGAATGAGGTGGCCATGCTTGTTTGATCTTGAAAACTAATCAGGGTTTGGGCGTGGTAGAAGTTGAATGTGTCTGGAAAAGCGCTATGAAAGACTAATGCTTTATTATAATTACAAACATTATCATAAACATAAAACTAATTGAGACAAAGCAAAACACAAATGATATACACATTCTAAAAATACATAAATAAACAAATTAGGCAATTAGGGGAAAATAACTAAAATAACAAAACTAGAGTATGCACAATCAGATCAGTTCCCCTTGTTCGTATTGTTGATACGAACATGGTATTTTAATAAATGTTCACATGGTAATACTATTAGTAGTATATTGGTACTATTATAGATTTGGTCCTTGAACTTGTTATAATAAATACATTCTAATGATCATCAGCCCTAAGTTGAACCAAACTAACCTATAACTCACAATATTTCAACAAAAAGTCCAGTTTTAACAATATGCATTATAGCTGCTACCATCTGCATGAAATAGTTTTGATGTCATCTGAAAGCCATCACCAAAATATCAGAAGTAACTTACTGTAAACTGTGATTGGTAAGTTTTCGATGCATTGTGTACCGTTTTTTAAATTTATAAAGCACTGAGACTCCATATCCCATCTTTTTACTTCCTCGATCTTTAATTGGACATGAGGAGCGTATGTGAGTCCAACTCCTTTGTAGTTTGACTCCCAGCCCATTCCTTCGACTTCATTTGTAGTTGAGTTGCAGTTGACTGTAAACGCGCCTCCATACTCCACCACTACTGTGGATGGGGTAATTTCAAAAGGACACTTGTCAGATTGTCCTGGGGAAAAATGCAAAGGAAGATGATCAGCCCTCCAAGAAAATCATAACATCATTAGAAGACTGTTTTTCAATGACTCAGCGGCGTTCAATTCTACATAGGTGTAAACTGGCGACGCTTTTGTTTCGTTCTAACTTTTTCTGCAGGCCTAATAACGGAATCATACAATGGGCGTAGGCTGACAAGTATACGCTACATGAAGTCAACATCAACATAACAAATAGTCAAGTAACACCAAGGTAATCACATGATTTACCTACCTGTGAATAAAAGGAAAAAGCTACACACGACGAACAACACGGTTTTGGCCATTTTAGCTACAAAAGTAACTAAAGTACCGCGGCTCCGATGTCCAAAATCAGGAATAGGAGACACTGCTGAGTCGCTTTCATTTGCTTAGAAAGTCCCGAAAGTAAAAGTAGCTGCGATGCCTTCACGTGCCGTAAGAATGGTAGGCCATTTAATATCCTGCTCTGAGGTAAACAGTATCATGCCTTGACCTTTGTAAGAGGTTGCAAGGGAGGCGGAGTCACGGAGAGACGTTGCAGAAATGTGCATTGCGTGGAGTACAAATGCAATTAATGCATATAACTTATATACGGTAAGTAATAGCTTGACGAGTTGAGGTTTTCGTTTTACCACGGAACAGGAACGCAGCATAAGCTAGTAAAACCTGCTGCCTTTGTTTTGATAATGAGTCATCCTATTTATCCTACTATGACTAGTAGTGATCTGCCTTCTGCTTGTCTTCAATGCTTTGTTTGGAATGTTCTACGGTGTATATGTATTCTCCTACAGATTACAGATTACATACCCCAAAATGTATGTTTGTAAAATGTTGTTTGTAGCGGAATCCATTAAATGACTTAAGGTGAGTAATGTAATCTGAATACTTTGGATTACTTGATTTACTGTAGAGAAGCAAAGACGAGGAAATCTTCACAAACGATGTTTTGTCTGTTAAAAGAAAATGAAAAGTTCAGACTTTACTTAACCGTATTAAAAATATTACTGATAGAAGACGAGGAAACACGTCCGCACAGCATGGTTTAGTCCTGTTAAATCCTGTTTTAGACCTGGTTTAGTCTTAGTTTAGTCCTGGTTTAGACCTGGTTTTACAACTGGTTTAGACCTGGTTTAGTCTTAGTTTAGTCCTGGTTTAGACCTGGTTTTAGTCCTGTTAGTCCTGGTTTTAGACCAGGTTTAGACCTGGTTTGGACCTGGGTTTAGACCTGGTTTTAGACCTGGTTTAAGGGTCCATTTTAACAAAGTAACTGTAATCCAATTACCTCTCATTGAAACAGTAACTGTAACTGAATACAGTTACTCATAATTTGTACTCTGATTACGTAACTCCGATACATGTAATCTGTTACTCCCCAACACTGCCTATGAACGGTATTAACACAAAACCATATCAGTTTATAATAAATTGTAATAATAAATTGTAAATTAATAAAAAAAAATCTCGCTTTAATATAAACATGTATTTACAATCTAAAATATTTATTTACAACATTAACACACATTTTCTGCATGTTACTCCAGTTTTTTCAATCCTTTGCAGTCCTTTTGTCTCTTTCATCTCACTATTACCATTTAATATAAATAATAAATAAATACTTTACATTATTCATAGTATAAAAACAAATTAGAAAAAAAAAGAAATATACAATCAAAAGTTGATTAACACAAAAGTGTGGTAAGACAAAGGGACTTGACAATAGAAAAAGTGCACTTTGACTAAACAAGGGTTACAATACAATGTGCTCAATGGAAAAAACAATACAAAACACACAACACAAAATACTATAAGTGAGATCTTTCACACATTCACTTTCACAGAATAACACGGAAAAAAACCCCACTTAAATATGACTAAAAATACAGTAGTTTTTGATTAAGATCTTGTTTCAAACACAGCATTATTCATGTTCTGGCTTTTAAAATGTTAAGGTTATGAATGCCTTCATGGGAGAAAAAACATTAAAGTCAGAATTTTGTGACAGATAGTATAGTAACAATCATCTTATTACCCTGTGCCTGAAATATTCTCTGTCATCCATGGTAGTTTTAAGATGTTGAAATCAAGACTTTGATCCTGGTAAACATTGGCATACAATAAATGTTAAAATGTAGCTTGCAACAGAGCATGATTTGCCTGACAACTATGCCCAATTTCCTGTTGTGCTATATTTTTACTATTCAGTGAGCTGGTAAAATGCAGTAGTTAAAAAGTTGTTTAAAAAAAACATTATTTCAAATAAACGATACAGTGCAAAAGCCCAAGTTGGTGGGTAAGGCAGGTCTCTACCAAAGTCCTCATTGTGCAATGATACAGATGTCAGACCAAGGGGATCTTGTCTTTCCACTGTGCCATAAGGCAGTTAAAGCCGATATAACATAAAATGAAAGAAATTATTGTTATTTTGGTATGTAATGTTAACAGAATTATCTCAGGGATCTACACTAAATGTAACCTACAAAGTTTGGTACTGGCACTTGGTTTTCATTTTAATTTGCACTGTGTTAAATCATTTCCATTGTACTATGTGATGTTTGAAAAATGGAAGAAATTGTTCTAAGGCAGTTCGATTTGGGTGGTCAGCTTCAGTCTTCAAAAATAACACACTAATAAAATGCTATAGTTTGGTCATTGGCAATGGCAGATCCCATCCATTGTTAGCTACGTTACCATTGTGGGCACTAAGTTTAGGATTTTTTAAATTGTAGCGCCGCATCTTGGTGTTCTTGTAGTATATGGAGTAGATGAAGACAAAGATAATGGAGATGATCACTACAGTGACTGCTACAAATCCAGCTATCAGTGGCAGGTAGTCCACTGTAAGAGAAAACATGAGACATTAATACAGTTGAAATCTGAATATAAATTAGTTTCTTTAAAAGGTGCACTGTAACTTTTCTGGTGGGTTTGTGCTTGCATTGACTGGAATATTCCACAGTATAACATGTTTGGAGTTTGAAGCTTGGAGGTGTCATCTGCTTGTCTCCATGGAGCTAAATAAGTTAAATGGCATAGTGTGGAACATTCCAGACAAAACAATAACATCAACAAAAAGCAGATGACAGGCCCCCACCAAAAATTTTACATACTGTGCAATTTTTCTGGTGAACGGTATGTTACCCACTTGTCTCCATGGAGATATTATTGCTCAGCCTGTAATGTTAGAGTATGTATATTAAACATATACATCTAGTATTTATTAATTACAGGTGTTTCTATTGCTCAAAATCACAATAACTCCTTAGGAGTTATTGTGCCGTCCTCACTTGGGCCCACCACCCGCAGGAGGATCCATATGGGGCCGGTGCAGAGAGATCTGGGCAGCAGTCGACGGCGGGGGCCTCGGCGACCGGATCTCCGGACATGGAGACTAGCTCTGGGGACATGGAATGTCACCTCGCTGGGGGGTAAGGAGCCTGAGCTTGTGCGGGAGGTTGAGCGTTACCGACTAGATATAGTCGGCCTCACCTCCACGCACAGTTTGGGCTCTGGAACCCAACTCCTTGAGAGGGGCTGGACTCTCCATTTCTCTGGCGTTGGCCGCGGGGAGCGGCGGCGGGCTGGTGTGGGCCTGCTCATTGCCCCACAGCTCAGTCGCTGTGTGTTGGAGTTCATCCCGGTGAACGAGAGGGTCGCGTCCCTGCGCCTTCGGGTCGGGGACAGGTCTCTCACTGTGGTGTCGGCCTACGGGCCGAACAGCAGTGCAGAGTACCCGGCCTTCTTGGAGTCCTTGGGAGGGGTACTAGACAGTGCACCGACCGGGGACTCCGTTGTTCTCCTGGGGGACTTCAACGGCCACGTGGGCAACGACAGTGACACTTGGAGAGGGGTGATTGGGAGGAACGGCCTCCCCGATCTGAACCCGAGTGGTGTTTTGTTATTGGACTTCTGTGCTAGTCACAGTTTGTCCATAACGAACACCATGTTCGAGCACAAGGGTGTCCATAAGTGCACGTGGCACCAGGACACCCTAGGCCGGAGGTCGATGATCGACTTTGTCGTCGTGTCATCTGATCTCCGGCCGCGTGTCTTGGACACTCGGGTGAAGAGAGGGGCTGAGCTGTCAACTGATCACCACCTGGTCGTGAGTTGGGTTCGCTGGCGGAGGAGGAAGCCGGAAAGACCTGGCAGGCCCAAGCGTGTAGTGAGGGTCTGTTGGGAACGTCTGGCGGAGCCCTCTGTCAGAGGGACCTTCAACTCGCACCTCCGGGAGGACTTCTCCCGGATTCCGGGGGAGGCTGGAGATATGGAGTCCGAGTGGGCTTCATTCTCGGCCTCTATTGTCAATGCAGCTGCTCGGAGCTGTGGGCGTAAGGTCTGTGGTGCCTGTCGCGGCGGCAACCCCAGAACCCGGTGGTGGACACCGGAAGTAAGGGATGCTGTCAAGCTGAAGAAGGAGTCCTATCGGGCCTTGCTGGCTCGGGGGACTCCTGAGGCAGCTGACAGGTACCGGCGGGCCAAGCGTGCTGCAGCCCGTGTGGTCGCGGAGGCAAAAACTCGGAGCTGGGAGGAGTTCGGGGAGGCCATGGAGAAGGACTATCGGACGGCCTCAAAGAGATTCTGGCAAACCGTCCGGCGCCTCAGGAGGGGGAAGCAGTTCTTCACCAACACTGTTTACAGTGCGGGGGGAGAGCTGTTGACCTCGACTGGGGACGTTGTCCGGCGGTGGAAGGAATACTTTGAGGATCTCCTCAATCCCACCGTCACGTCCTCCGAGGAGGAGGCCGAGGCTGGGGACTCGGAGGCGGACTCATTAATCACCCTGGCCGAAGTCACTGAGGTGGTTGGCAAGCTCCTTGGTGGCAAGGCTCCGGGGTTGGATGAGATCCGTCCTGAGTACCTGAAGTCTCTGGATGTTGTGGGGCTGTCTTGGCTGACACGCCTCTTCAACATCGCGTGGCGGTCGGGGACAGTACCTCTGGACTGGCAAACCGGCGTGGTGGTCCCTCTGTATAAGAAGGGGGACCGGAGGGTGTGTTCCAACTATAGGGGGATCACACTTCTCAGCCTTCCCGGTAAGGTCTATGCCAGGGTACTGGAGAGGAGAATCCGGCCGATAGTCGAACCTCGGATTCAGGAGGAGCAGTGTGGTTTTCGTCCTGGCCGTGGAACACTGGACCAGCTCTACACTCTCCATAGGGTGCTCGAGGGTTCATGGGAGTTTGCCCAACCAGTCCACATGTGTTTTGTGGATCTGGAGAAGGCATTCGACCGTGTCCCTCGTGGTGTCCTGTGGGGGGTGCTCTGGGAGTATGGGGTCCGGGGCCCTTTGCTAAGGGCTGTCCGGTCCCTGTATGACCGGAGCAGGAGCTGTGTTCGCATTGCCGGCAGTAAGTCAGACCTGTTCCCGGTGCATGTTGGACTCCGCCAGGGCTGCCCTTTGTCACCGGTTCTGTTCATTGTATTTATGGACAGAATTTCTAGGCGCAGTCAGGGGCCGGAGGGGGTCCGGTTTGGGGACCACAGGATTTCATCTCTGCTGTTTGCGGACGATGTTGTCCTGTTGGCTTCATCGAACCAGGACCTGCAATGTGCACTGGGGCGGTTTGCAGCCGAGTGTGAAGCGGCTGGGATGAAGATCAGCTCTTCCAAGTCCGAGGCCATGGTTCTCGACCGGAAAAAGGTGGCTTGCCCTCTCCGGGTGGGTGGGGAGTCTTTGCCTCAAGTGGAGGAGTTCAAGTATCTCGGGGTCTTGTTCACGAGTGAGGGAAGGACGGAACGTGAGATTGACAGGCGGATCGGTGCAGCTTCGGCAGTGATGCGGTCGCTGTATCGGACCGTTGTGGTGAAGAGGGAGCTGAGTCGAAAGGCGAAGCTCTCGATTTACCGGTCAGTCTTCGTTCCTACTCTCACCTATGGTCATGAGCTCTGGGTAGTGACCGAAAGGACGAGATCGCAGATACAAGCGCTCGAAATGAGTTTCCTCCGCAGGGTGGCTGGGCGCTCCCTTAGAGATAGGGTGAGGAGCTCAGTCACACGGGAGGAGCTCGGAGTAGAGCCGCTGCTCCTCCACGTCGAGAGGAGCCAGTTGAGGTGGCTCGGGCATCTGTTCCGGATGCCTCCTGGGCGCCTCCCTCGGGAGGTGTTCCGGGCATGTCCCGCCGGGAGGAGGCCCCGGGGAAGACCCAGGACACGCTGGAGGGACTATGTCTCTCGGCTGGCCTGGGAACGCCTCGGGGTCCCCCCGGAGGAGCTGGAGGACGTGTCTGGGGTGAAGGAAGTCTGGGAGTCCCTGCTTAGGCTGCTCCCCCCGCGACCCGGCCCCGGATAAGCGGACGAAAATGGATGGATGGATGGATGGATCCTTCTGTGAATAGGGGTGACTCTCCACAGATCTGAACTGTAATGTAGCTTAGTGCTGTAACCTGATTGTCTCCCTCGTGACAGATAGGTTTAATGTATATTGTGGAACATTCTAGACACAGCAATTATATTTTCATGGAGAAAAGCACACACAGACACACATATACACAAAATGTAATAATGAAGTTGTACCAACCTTTTTCAATTACTTCAACTAGATGAGTGGCAAATCCATAAGTATTCTTTGCTTTGCACACGTATTTTCCCTTTTTGGTCACAGAGATGAGACCACCGGTCTGGTTGGGTGATAGATCTACATCAGCAGTCCATGTGATTTCTGGACGTGGGTTTCCATCAGCTTCACATTTTAGGTCTTCAGCATAACCACTAAACACTGGGACAATGTGTGAAAGCTTCGTAGTGTTAATGCTGGGCTTATCTGTGAGAAATATCAATATTAACAGTATAGAAAAGATGAAGGAAGAATGCTGCAATTACAGTATCTAGTGGCGAGTATGGATGTAACAATATCCAAATCTTTTCACGTTATGATACAATATTTGTTGCAATATTGTGTGAAAGTGTAGAAATACTAGTTTTTCCATTTAAAATGCCTGAATGAGTAATTTCTGTTAAATTCCAAAGGATAAACTATTCAGGTTAAAAATATGTTTTAGAAAACAGTGATTTCTTTATGTTGGTTGCACTGAAACTGCAAAGAATCATGGTCTGTATAGTTGTTTTTTTTTAGCAACACCCATAACAAACCAATGCATTTAGGCAAAGACGATTGTGATATAATATAATGTGACAATCCACAATTAGCTTGTATGTACAAAATCACAATATTTTGGCTATTGTTACACCCCTGGTAGTGAGTAGTGGAAGTTCTTACAGTGGACAGTGGCAATGAGCGGTTTGGACACTGGTAAAGGTATGTCTTCTTGTATTCCAGGTAATTTCAAAACAGCGCCACATGAGAACTCCACTCCATTTTGTGTTCTGTTTCCAGTGATGTTTGTTTTAAACCACATCTGCACACTCTCCTTGGTCTCGTCAATATTACAATTGTTGGCGCAGATGACATGAACTAGAGAAAAACAGAAATATAAAATACCTTGAATTTAGTACAGAAATTCACAATTAATCATACGTAGACATCATATGATAGATCGCATGGTCTTATTTGAGAGCAAATGCCTTGCTGCCACATTGTCACTGATGGATTAATATGAATGTAAAGACGTATAGTTATATTTCTAATTACTAGACTTTTGTTTTTGTTTTGTATTCCCACACCTAAAACATCTCAGGCTGGTCAAAAATAATAAAAAATAAATATTTCAGGGGTACATGATGACGTGTCAAAATGGGGTAATGATTTCACTAAAGACTACAGTCTTTAAATACCTCCATTTGGTGGTGTGAAGGATTCATTCCCTTTAAACCAGTTCACCATAACGCTCTTTGCAGGAGCAACACTTGTGACTTCACAAACCAGAGTATAGAGCTCTTTCTCCATTACTATGGCATTGCCTCCTTCAATCCTGATGGAAACATTGTCCGGTTTTTCTAGAGAAAAATTATGCACACAGTTAAAAGTTGTCCTAGCAAGAAACAGAGTCACAACAATGTCAAACATACTGTAAAGAATGAAGTCTAGTTTTTTCCTGCATGTTCCTATTCCATTAAATGTCCCTTCACAAACAGGGCTTGCAGTCCAGTTACGTGTATCAGCGACCCATTCTTTACTGCTGGTATTATTTCCACCCTTTTCCAGCCAGTAGATTTCGTTGCTGTTTGTAGGTGAAATAGTTCTGCATGTAGCACTCTTTCTCTCGCTGTTATATTCCAACACCATCCTCTCCGGCTTTATTTGAAGAGGACATTCTTTCTTGACACCTGCAGGACATGATGTCATTCAAATTACTGCGCTAAACAACTTTATCTTATAACAACAACTATGTCCTAGTCAGAAGTTTACAGGAAAGGGCTCATGGCTCAGGAAGGATACCCCACCCCATACAATCACTGAAAGCATTATACTTGCCATCCACCACTGTTTTGGCTAAGTGACTTTGTAACTTTATAATAATACCACAAATAAAAGGTTAAATAAATATCCAGCTAAAGCTTACACACAAGATACTACACGCATACGCTCCCATTCAAAATCAGTCCATGGACACGACACTTGAACGCACCGTTGTTTAAAATATCTTTCTTATCACTCAGCACAAAAGGCCAGACACATTTCATTCTTGCTCAAGCAAACATAAACCATCCAAAACTACATAAAGGTATAATCCAAACAGTAAGTAGACTTTCATTTGGCACATCTTACCTAATGTCGCGTTAAAAAGCGTCGGCAGCATAAAAGTTAACCAAAACATCTGAACGCGTAAAAAGTCGTAAAAATCCATTTAGCAACAGAACACTAAATTAATAGTCAAGTATTATTATAGCCTCCTGATAAGTTGAAACGCCGCGGTCCTACAAGTAAAGAAAAGTACTAGAAAATACTTCAAAATTTTCGGAAATTTCAGCCCCGTCTGAATAGCGGGAACCAGGGAGAGAGTTACAGAGAGCGAAAGGAAACGACCCGCCTCCACGAATGACGTGCAAGACGCCAAAGTGTACAGCTGGCTGCCAAATATCCACTCATGTTGGCAATACGGTAATGAACTATTATAGGCCTGCATGACCATGCTGACTGACCTGATAGCTAACTTGGGATACTTTTAAATATTAGTTTTTTTTCACAGAAAGAAAATAAATAAAGTCTAATCTCTTATAGGTCTAAATCTCAGAAACAAAAAAAGTCATTATTTCTATTATGCATGCAATTTATTTAACATTACAGCACCTTTTAAGACCCAAAGCCCTAGTTAAGATTGACCATAGAATTGTGCGTGAAGTGTCTTGCCAAAGGACACAATGGCAGTTTCCACTGGAGCCACTACTGTCCCTAGTTGTTATAAATGGAGTTTATGTAATTGCATAGGTTATCTTTACCTTTCACGGTGAGACTTGCTTTTTTAGACACATTTCCATACTCATTTGATGCAAGGCAAGTGTAGTTGCCTATGTTGAAAGTTGTGGCATTTTGAATCTCCAAAATCGACACCCCATCAAAATTTCTCTCTGCGACATTTGAAATATTGTAATAAATCCAGGAGTACTTTGGTCTTGGGTTTCCTCTGGCATAGCACTTCAGATATACAGAAGAACCTAAAGTAAAACTTGAGCCTTCTAGCTCAAAAATCTGTGATGGGGGATCTGAAAACAACACATTATGGTTGAAATAGCAGAAATCAAAATAAATAAAATAGTAATAAATAGGTAGTAACTTACAATAAACAATGACCTCAAATGTTTGCGTGGCATTTTCATTTTCTGTTGAGGCAACAAGTGTGTAATTTCCTGCATCTGTTCTTGTTATAGTTTCTAAATGCACCTCTTCTCCATCTTGGTATAAAGCAACTTTAGGTAAAGGATAGCCTCTAACTGTGCAATTGAGAATAATAGTGGTATGCTCAACCACAGTAAAATAGCGTGGACAACTCAGTTCAGGTCCATCTATGGCAAATAAGACAAGAAGTGAAATTAATAGATTAAATTTGTATCTGGACTTTAACAAACGTATGTAAAATAGTATTTACTTACATGATACACCAACACTGATGGTGACATAAAGTCCTGACATACTGGCAACGTAAGTGCCAGCATCCTCCCTCATTAGGGGTTTTCTTGAGTTTATCTGCTGTCCATTTTTAAACCACATGACATGAGGGGTGGGGTTTCCACGTACAGGGCATTTATTATCCAGTGTCTCACCTTCTGCTATTGTCACGTGACCAGAACAATCCATTTCTGGACCAACTACAAAAACAAAAAACAAACAGATGTAGGTTATATAAAGTGTAAGGTTGCATAAATCTTTCAAACATTTTAAATGACAAAATTGTACTTACATGTGACATTTATTTTGAATATTTGTGATGATACATTGATATATGGTCCTTCTGGCCTGAGATCCAAATGAGCTTCACATCTGATCTCTGCTCTGTTGACATGTCTGGTTGGTCTAAAATATAGCTTATAGGAGGAGTTGCTGAATGTCTCACTGTTTTTGTACCACACCACTGATCGATTTGCAGCAGGATATACATCATGTACATCACATATCAGGTAATAGTCCTCCCCTTCTTTCATGATACCATCACTGCTATTGGAGGTGATTTGGATTGTTTCTGGGTAACCTGAACAACAAAAAATTTATATTACTGAACAAATTAAAAAGAGATGTGCAAAGTTGTCTTTGTAAGTAGCCTAGACCTATGTGTTATTTCAACACACGTTTGTATACTTTAAACTGGTGCACAGACAGACAGACAGACAGACAGGTAGATAGATAGATAGATAGCTATCATGTTGAGCAATACTTAAAGTTAATCTAATTTACATACCGTACAGAACAATGTCAGCAGTTTTTCCGCACTGTTCCTGAGACACTGGGTTGATGAAGCACATAGCCTTCGTGTTTGGGTTTGTGGTTCCCACACTCCATGTCAAATGGTTGACCATCATCATTGCTATGCCATCTTGTGGTGATTCCCACCCCATCCCCTCATGCTCTTCATCTGCTGTACAGTTGATGGATACCGGGTCTCCATTTTTCGCTATGACCCTAGATGGATTCAATGTTATGGGACAGTTGGGATCTACAAAACAAAAGGAATATAAATACATACTTCCCAGCAACATCTCAAACTAAGTAACAATACTGATGACCAAAAATGACTTCATAGTGAGCAGAGCAGTTTTTTTCCGTGTAATTTTTTTCCGTTTCTCTTAAAGGTGCACAATATAAATTCTCTAATCAAGGATCCACCATTCTTGCACCTTGAGATATTACTGCACTGACTGCAATGTTTCACAATACAGACTATGGCATTAACTTATCTTGCTTTGTACAGTGTTGTTGCTGATGTTTTTGCTTAAATAGGCCTACTTTAAGAAGCGTTAATTCTGGTGAGTTGCTCCACAGATCTGACCTAACTTCTTAGTTATAATTCTATTGGGTAAAAAAATATCGCTAACTTCGGATGCATAGCTAGCTATTTATTAAAAAAAATAAAAATAAAAAAATAAAAAACGCGAAAATCTGTGTGTTGGCAAAAGTTAGACACTAGCGGGCGTAGTTTGTATAGTCTATGCAATGATATAAAGTGGGCCAGTTTCAAATACCAGAAGAAATGAGGGTATTTTCCCCATCTTTTTACGGAAACTTAAGCAAAACACAGTTTTGAATGTTTAACAGAAGTTGTCTTGTTGTTCTAAGAGTGACAAATTTCTAATATTTTATTAACATAATCTCACGTGATGCTACTCTTTCCTGGTTAGAAGCCACTAGCGCACCTAATGCCAAAGCGACCTGCCACTACTTCACTAATAAACATTTTCATCACATAACATATCCTATGGCCTATAAACACATCATGTCGTTAAAATAGATAAACAAATAAATAGTTTACTTAATAACATAGATTTTATATTGTTCATGCAGATAATAGAGTAGTAGAGTAGAGTAGAGCAGTAATAGAACTAACCTGCCACACTGAGAAGAAATCCAATGAAAAGTTGCACAAACAAGATTGTGTTGGTCATTTGCCTTGTTTTCTCCAAGCTCTATAACAATGTCTCCCTTTGTGTGTTCCAGATTGCGTCCCGATACTGAGCTGCCTTGGTCCGCTGTAAAACGGTGAACGACAGAAAAAGAGAGAGGGGAGTGAGAGATTAGCCTGCCAACGCACTCCGCGCACTGACCCTGTTCACTTGGAGAGATACTGTATTTCTGACTAAGCAATCATGAGATGGCTTTCTGTAAGTTCCCATTTTCACAAATTTTTCTCTCATGTCACCCTGAAATACTTCTCTTCCTTTAATTCAATAAAGTCCCCATTATCCCGTTGTGGCGGAACTGGTGGGGCAATATCATGTCACGTTATTATCCTGGAACATACCATTTCTGAACTTTATTATATCCGGTCTCTAGTCTTCTTTTTCTTTTTTAAATATTAAGATATCATAAATAAGGGGTGTCCAAACTTTTTTCATCAAGGGCCACATCTCTAAACACAGATGAAGCAGAGGGCTGATCAAGGGCCGTAGACTGGTGCTCAGTACAGTGAATAATTGAAATATGTGCATGTTTAACACCTTAGAATGAGCCATCAGTCTTTATTCACCCTAAATTCCTAAAACCACACATTAAATCTTCAATATTGGCTTTATCAAAGTAGATTTTCAAAAAAACTTGCAGTAAAAAGATAATTTTTAATTGATGCAAGGTAATTTGGGCCACATCACCTGGAAGCCTGAGGGCCAAGAAAAAATTGTCCGAGGGCCGCATTTGGCCCACGGGCCATAGTATGGACATGCCTGCCATAAATAGACCACTTCCACGGGTCTAGATTCTGATTCACACCCACACTTTATTTAGATGCAGCTCTCAACTCATTCTTTTCTGAACACTTTTTAGTCCTCATCCTTTTTTATTGGATAATTTACATATAATATACAAATATACCTCAGTTTGTAACGTTTTAGAATAAGCAGTACACATGCCTGTACTTTTGGGTGTTCACTGACCCTTGGAATTTCCAATGTGCTTTCCAATGCCAGTATCCTGTTTTTAATAGATTCAGGTTGCATAAGTAAAGGATTTACCATTTACAAAACACACATTATAAAGTCATTATATTTCTGATACATGCAGCGTTATATGATTCTTCCTGGCCATCATGTGACTCACAAAATAAAAAGACAACAATGCGCCAACAGAGAAAGTAAGACAGCTGAGAATAAACAGCTGCACGCAGCAAGTTGTCTCGGGGTCAGGGGTCATCTGAGTAGTTTATTAGATGGGAGCACGGGGGAGGTAAAAAGATATGTAACAAGGGAGGTCTTTAAAGACAAACAGGGAGTTTTAGCAGAGAAAACAAGCATTAAGATTCCAGTCATGTTGCTGTTTCACTCCCTATTGAAACACCTAAAAGAACTGAATGCATTATACTCAGGAAAGACATTATAATAGGAAATACATTGTCAGTCTAGCCAACAGATTTGATTGTTATAGATCCCTTCTGTTAATTGTTACTACCAGTAACAAGCCAACAAGTTTTTATGTAGTCTTTCTAACTAACCAATTTTTCCTTCCAACAATGTCAGAGAAACTGAAACTGAAATAAGTTTAAAAAGAGCTTGAGTGTGTTTCACTCTCTATTCCTTTATTTTAACATTCAAGCAGTCCTTCCTGTAAATGACAAGATGCTCAAAGTACTGTGTACAGTTTAATACAGTTTAGAAATGATTGCTACAATATAGTGAATAAATGCTGCCTATTTTGATTTGTGTTTGTTGGCTTTTGTCTTGTCTGACTAATGTAGCAAACTCTGCTATAACTGACATTTGGTCAAAAATAATATACCCATATGGTATGTTATAATGTAGGTTTTATACTATACTGTGGAATATTATAGCCAAAGGAACATTTTCATGGAGAGGAGTAGGATTAAAGGGTTGTAAAAAAAAAAAATCCAAAATGAAAATGAAAGAAATCAGATAAAAAGTTTAGTTGTATTTTTTTTTTAATGAGCATTCCCATTTACTACTATAATGAAAGTGAAAGGGCTGAAAACAGGCATATCTCACATTTCCTCTGAGTTAATTCCCAGTGGTGTTTGTACACCACACTTTGTGCCTCTGTGAAAAACAGGGGGCCAGTGGATGATTATTGCAAGCAAGCAAGTACAAAGTATCAAAAAACAAACATTCCTGGAATTAACTGATGATGCGCCTCTTGACTTTGACTGATGGATCAACCTTGAACTCTAAGATTACAAGATACATCATCCTTCACATACAGATGGTATTTCCCATGGATTTAATATTTAACCATTTGAAAATACAGAGAACTTAGACTCAGTAACAATATCAGTGTTGTTCACTTACTTACCAAGGCAGTAGTGTAATGTGATCATGGAAAATGCAGGGGGTTTCACAATGCCCCCTCTGTTTGCTTATTCTTTGTTTCTGATCTGGCATTTGTAAGCCATTTTCTATTTTTCTGTCTATCTTAAGTGATAAATGATCCCTCTTTCAAAGTGGCTGCTGTGTTTTAACATGTATGAAATTGTAGATACTGTACCTCTAGTCCAAAAACGTAAATGCAATTTATCATGTGACTATCCTGCTGACTAAGTGAACTCTTATCCTGTTTTTGCTAATAGTTCATAGGAAGACTGGCTCAAATATGGGGCCAATCTCCCATATTTAGAGGTGGAATGTAACAAAGTCCAAGTAGTAAAATATTGTACTTAAGTAAAAAATGTAGGTGTCTGTACTTCACTTAAGTAGATTTTTTAAAAGTAAATAAGTTTTTACAATTACTTCATTGTTATTGTACAAAAGTTATCCCACACAAGTTTTTGGTGAGACCCCAAATACAACTGGCTGAGAATGATAGATTTTTCTGCCAAAAATTACATTCCTTTTCCTCATCGAACTGAACATAGGTCATTTCTGGAACTCATCTCTATGTCTGTAACTGTATACATATGTGCATAGTCTCCAGTCAGTTTAAAAGCTCTCCATACATAAACCTTATTTCATGCAAAATCCTGCTGTGTGAATTAGTCTTCTCAAGATACAAACATTCTAAGCTAAATGTTGATATTAAGGAAAAGGCTTGACACTTAATACCAAATTTGATACCACAATACTACAATTACTATAATTATCAACATAAAAATCTTCACGATAATAAAGAATAAAGCCCCCACCATGACTTAGGCCAAAATAGATTGATTAAAGCAGCTAGGAAAACATGTGTCCTTACATTACATAGTGCTATGTTTACATATTCTTTCCAGTAAATATACTTGTTCAAAAGAGTATTTAGTAGGGGTGTGCATTGCCATGAACCTGCATTACAATACTTATGATATGCCTGTGACAATTCAGTATATCATGATATATTTTGGTGCTTAAGGACAATATATTGTAATTTATCAGTAATTACATATAATATTATGGTTGAGTTGAGTACATCTTCACAAGAACAAAACTGGATGAAATAAAATTCATTTAATTTTTAAATAATGAGTATAGTAAATGAATTTTATTAATTTTTCAGAAAAAAACATGACATTAAAAAATGTATTCAAACGGATTTTGAATCGATACAAGAATCTCACAATAAAGTATTGCAATATATCACTCAGTTGATTTTTTTCTTAAACTCCTAGTATCTAGATTTAAGTCTAGTTTTAGTCTCAATGACTGCAAGTAAAAGTGAAGATTTAATTATTAATTTGTTAGATGTAGATTTAAATAACATCTCTCATGGTGGTGGGCGAAGGCTATAACTACTGAGTCACTGCTGCCCACTGATGTATATGTATGATTGAAATGCCATATTAGACTTGTAATGTAATCTCTGTTCAAGGAAAAAGGGCAAGTGTGAAGCATGGACAAACCAGACAACAAACAGGAAGTGCCCACTACCTTATTAGGACAAAAGACAGGAAACATCAGTGAGAGACTGCACTACAGCATCAAAGAAATTATATCAAATCTTTGCCCGCATGTTCTTATTCAAGCAAACGTAATGCCAGTTAAACCTATCTGTTCCTGATAAAATAAAAAAATAAATCTTAACATTCACAGGGGGAATCTTTTACCCCACCCCTTCTTGTTATATTTGTTGTCTTTTTTTCTCAGAGCCCTCTTTAATATGCAACTACTCTTTTCAACTGGAAATGAGGGAGTGGTTAGACTTCTATTCACAGTAATGACTTTGTATTGCTTTATTGTTACAATGAAGAGGCTTGCTCCTGCCCAGCTGAGTAAGATGAAAATGCCCCTTCAAGAACATTACGGCCCTACAGGATTCCTCCCACTACATTTTACTATGCTGTGAATAAGAAGTCTTGTAATCTCACATAGGTCAACTTTTTACACTGCTCATAACATCTAAAATATTTCTTCAAACTAAAGACAGTGAATTTTAAACCTGGTGTTTTCTGAATCTTATAGAGGATGTAACTAGTTTATACAAGTCCACCGGTCCCATAAAATATCATACTTCTGTGGCTGACATCATAGGCATATGGGAGCACTTAGGGGCTGGTTGCTGGGAAGCAAATAAAAACTTGGATTTAACTTTATTTTTCAAAACACATTGTTATATTTTACAGATTTACCAGATTTTTCTCACTCATAAGTGTGTTACATTTTTAATTGGTTAATAACTCTTGAAAGACTGCTTTCCAGATGGTCTGACCTCCGTAGATTATTTTTCAAAACATGGGTTAAAATCTGTTTTACATTGTTTCACCATTGAAACTTTATACAACTTGTGTGACCCACTTTTAGGTCCCAACCCACAATTTTGGAACCACCACTTTAACCCGTGTAGTGACTAAATACTGCAACACAAGCAGCCAATTAGCACACATACATGTTGAAATTGTGCTTGAAATTGGCAGAGAAACATGAATACCTGTTAACATTTTAGTTCTGCTGTTCCCATAAAAAGTGGAATCACATTTGTGGAATTCTTGATGACTGAATCATTTGGGTCCAAGTTTATAGTCACAGGGTTTTTTTTTTTCTTTCTTTTATTTTTTAGGTTCCCAGGCCACAATTTAAGAACTACCATCCGCACATATAGTCACAAATTCTTTCACTGTGTTATATATGTAATAGAGTAATCAGAATAGGAATCAATTCCATCCATCCATTTTCTTCCA